ATAAACTGACAGCTTAAATCGATTTCCAAAATTCTAGACAAATCACAAAAAGTTGTTAAATGCTGTAAACCAACCATGTGGCATTATGATTTATAAAATAAAATTTGATACTTTGATTAAAAATATGATCATTTTATGACGTTTACTAAGGTTTTATGTAATTGGTGGTTGACCATTTTCATAAACGTGAGAATTTTCTGGTATTTTAAATTTTCGATATTCTGATGTCAAAGATCATTTTATAGATAAAATTCTATTAAACTGAAATTTTGAAAGTTGAATTATGTATTCTTCGGCTATTAATTGCTCAATTTCTGTACCTTTTGTTTAAATAATATATCTAATGATTTTATTTTTTTTAATCTGATACTTGTACTATAAGTACAGATTTAAAAACTTTATATGAACCATATGTGAACTTATAGAAATTAAGAAAATATTATCCACATTTAATATTTTTTAGATGTTTATGGCTTATTATTAAAGAATAATTTAAATTATTCTGGATGTGAATTATTTGTTGTAATTGTAGAACAAGCTATGTCGATAACCAATGGTTACTAACCATTTTAAAATAATATATGATATATTTTTTATCCCAAGAAGCAGAAGATTTTTATTTTCAATATCCTAAGAAATTGACACGATTTTTAAATTTCAGGAAACATATTTACAATCGAACAAATTTTTGGATCTTTAACAATGTTAACTGAATTTAGAAAAAAGTTACTGCTGAGTTGAGGGTAAAAATTCAGTGTTACATGTATTTTAAATTTCGCATTATAAAAAATAATATAAATGTAGTAGGTTAAAAAAAATTCAGAAAAAGTATTAGTACTAAAAAAGTTGCTACCTAAGTTTATTTTAATAATACAGCTAAATCTGTTAATATCTGTCATTTAAAAATTACATGGCATATAAATTTAATAATTAGTTTATAGTATTATCATTGTTAAGATTAGTAGTTTTTCCAGTTTCGGCAATTAAATTTCTAATAAGCGTTTACAGTTTTTGTAAATTTCAAGTATTGTATCAACATTGGTTTGCGGCGACAGCTTCGAGATGAGATGTAATGATCTTAATAAGGAAAACAAATACGACGTCAACAAATTATTTGAACAGTTTAAAGGACTAGTAAATTATTAACAAGTAACACAATTAATGCATACTAGTTTTTGAAGGTTCTCATGTAATAATCCTATAAAATATTAATAATAATTTTGAAATATTAAAATTATGATTGAAATTGAAAATTTAATATTTTAATTATAATAGTTCATAAAAAACTTAGTATTCAAAATTTACATAAACATGTTAAATGTTTCAAATTTGTCATCTCTCTCCTTTTAAATAAAATATAATATATAGAGCAAGCTAAAATTCTAGATGGCAATCTATTCAAAACAAAATATATTTATATATTATTTTGGTATATAATAAATAGTATAGTAATGGTAATTTGGTATATGTATAATATAAATTTATAAATTGCGCTGGTTCTTTAAATTAAAAGAAAAAATATTTTGTTTGCAATTAACGATTGTGATTTATGCAGCCAAATTGTCGATTTAAGAAATGATGAAAACTTAAACTATTCATTCAATTATTTATATATATATATATATATATATATATATATATATAATATATACGTTTCGATACTGTATGCATGTCATCATTTAGCAGCTCTAAGAAATAGTTTAACAAGTTAAACATATTTTTACAAAAATATCTTACTAATAATATGCACACCATACCAGAAAAAGAAACATTGTTGTGTTATTAATATATATAATTAAGCAAAAATAAAAAAAAATATATAT